GCCCTGCCCTGTTTGCAGCCTGGTGCTGACCCACTGCTGGGGCCCCCGGGCAGGTGGGTGTTTCTGGCCTGGGCTGTTCTCACTCACACCACATGTGTGTAAGGGGGCACTGAGGTGTGTTCTCCTGCCCTGGGAGAAATAGCTCTCATTAAAATTTCGGAAATGGCCAAATAAAGTGAAACAAAGAACTTTATTAACAGCACTGGGTGCACCCAACTCGTGACCAGGTTCCAGCAGCCCCACATGGGAGGGACGAGCCCTTTTAAGACCCTTCGATTTGCAGAACCACTCCCTTGCTCCTCCCATGCCAGACCTCGCTCTTTTCTTCCCACCAGTCCCTGACCACAAAATGGCTCCTCGACTTTCCAAACAAAATGACCCCCAGGTCACTCCCAGCCTTGTGCTGGTCACTGCTGTTTTCCTCTGCAGGGCGTTGTGTTGGGCACATCCTGGAGAGCAAAGTGGAAAGCAGATGGAAGCTTTGAGGCCCTGGCCTGAGGAGATGCCCCTGCAGGATGGCAGTGCTGCTGCAGAGGTCAGCTCTGTGCCAGCACTGCTTGTGGCTGTCCCTGCCTGCAGTCCCTGGACAGTCCTGCAGCAGGACTGGCACCGACTGCCAGAGCACTGAGGCTCCAACAACACAGGGCTCTGCAGGACAGTGTGGAAGGGAAGGGAGAGGAGGCCAGGCAGGAGAAGGGCTGCTGCTCCCTGGCAGTGCTGCTCTGCTGGGACTCTTTTCTGGCCCAGCTCTGCACAGAGGCTCCGACCCTGCAGCTGCAGAGAAGTCAGAGAGGAAAGATGTGAGGCAAACAAGCCAATGCAGAGTTCTTTATTTGGCTTAAGCACACAGCGAGTACAATTCCAAATTTATACAGCCTCTAGGTTAGGCTAGAAAAACAAACACTGAATTAGAAATGGTCTTTATATATATATAAATATATTTACTTTTTTTTATCTATCTATCTATCTATCTATCTATCTATCTATCTATCTTTATATGTGTATAAAGATTTTTTGGTGTGAAGAAATTCTCACAAAAATAACAGCCCTACCAGGAGTAAAAAGTAGAGAAGATATGGTGGGCCTTTAATGAAGTCCATAACAGGATTGGCCTTTAATGAGGTACATAACATGGAGAAGAAGGAGAGTTTCTTGCTTCTGAGGAACACCCAGTTATGAGTTTCCTCAGGGCATCCTTGAGCTCCTGGTTCCTCAGGCTGTAGATGAAGGGGTTCAGTGATGGAGGCACCACCATGTACAGAACTGACACAATCAGATCTAGGGATGGGGAGGAGACTGAGGGGGGCTTCAAGTGCGCAAATGTGGCAGTGCTGACAAACAGGGAGACCACAGCCAGGTGAGGGAGGCACGTGGAAAAGGCTTTGTGCCGTCCCTGCTGAGAGGGGATCCCTAGCACAGCCCTGAAGATCTGCACATAGGAGAACACAATGAAAACAAAACAACCAAATGCTAAGCTGGCAGTAACCACAAGAAAG